GGACCTGATTGTGGGATAAATTCAGAGGCCATTTTAAAAATAGAATTAAAGTTTAGGCCAAGTTTCTTTAACAATTTCTTGTTCTTCTTTTCATCTCTAAATAGTTAAAGGTAGCTTCGCGTTGAAGTTCAGTAAATTTTTCAGGGCCAGAAGTTTTTCTATGGCACAGCAGTAACATGCTGCTCAGCAGAAGCAGGATCCCATAGGGCACAGTGGTTTAAATCCTCAGCCCGGAACATGCCAAACACACATGCATCTGCCCAAGATTTTAGAGGACTGAAGAAGAGAATTGTAGCATGGCCAGGCCCTCTAGACGGTATGTCTGTCTGTCTCCCCCCCCGCCCCTGGCACATGTACTCTTTCATGAATAAAGGAAAAAAAACATTAAAAAAATTTTCCCCAGAACTTCCTTTCTAAAACATCTGATTTTTATTTTCCTTTCTCGTTAACAGGAAATTGAGTAGAAGGAAAAACACAATAGAACTATAATAGCAAAAAAAAAAAAAAAAAAAAACCCCTGGAAATAAAAAAAGAAAAAAAAAAAAAAAAAAAAAAAAAAATCACACCACTCTTCTTGCTACTGCAGCTTCTGTTTCCATGCAGAAAGTTAGATTACGATTATTATACCAGATTGGAAATGGCCTTCCAGGTCCGCATCCTTGCACTGTGGTTGTAGACATGTTGAATGACCGGCCGCCGCCTTTACACGTAAACAAAGGCAGTCGTAAGACGAATGGCCTTCTGCACATCGCCGTATCATGAGAGCGACTTTGTGGCAGTACAAGGTTTTATGTGTGCATATGTTGGGATTTTAGTTCCATTACTGGGCTCGTATTATGTAACCTTTGGTTTTAAACAAAAAGTGCTGCATTTTTCCCTCCTAGATGCTTTGTAGGAAAGGTGATAGCGATTAAAATCTAACCTCGAAGGGGAAGATGAGAGCGTACTTGTGCTGCCGAGCACAACACACCCTCCCTTGTCAGCCCCCACCCCGTCCTGTCCAGGCAAACAGTCGTCCTAGCCACCCCAGGCAGGTCCTCTCCATGTGCACTTCACTGTTTCGTGTGAGGTGGTGTTGCTTCGCCATGGCTGTTTCTCTCTCTCTCTCTCTCTCTCTCTCTCTCTCTCTGTGAAGGGCGATTTTATAGAGCAGTGAATTACATTGACTTGTAGAGGCATTGTAACTCCCTTTCTGATTCCTATTTTCATATTTTTATCTTTGCATAGGCTTGAGGAAGGAGATTGGTAAGAAAGAATAAGGACTGTTTAGATGGGAAGGGGCAGCAGATTTGCTTTTTTTTGGGGTAGAGGTTTTTGCCTAAATGTGCATGTACTCGCCAGAGAGAGACAGAGACAGTGAGAGAAATGTGAGAAATCACCCCTGGGAGGGTTGACCACGCCGCAGTCCCTTCTCCATTCTTCTCCTGGGATCTTGGGCATGCATGCACGCGCATCCGGCATGAATTTCAAGCCACTGGGTCTGGGACTTGAACTGTGGTTGACTGTGTGGGGAGTCTAGTGACATAACCACTATGCCATCTGCTGGCCCCAGAGACGGTGGATGTTATTGTGGATTACCATAGTAGCTCTTCCAAAACAAAACTAAGTTTAAGTTTGGAAGGGAGAATTCAGTTTGGATCCTCTTTTAAGTATATCATAATCATCACTGAGTTGTGTAACCTGTAATTGAGAAGAACCCCTGGGGGGACCAGCAGTTGGCATAATGGCTATGTCACTGGACTCCCATGTAGTCGACCACGGTTCAAGCCCCAGGCTCAGTGGCTTAAACTCAGGCCAGGCATGTGTGCATGCATGCCCAAGATCCTGAGAGGAGAACGGAGAAGGGATTGCAGCGTGGTTGTGCCTGCACCCCCCGCCACCCCTGGGTGGGGGGTGATTTCTTACATTCTGTCTTTCTGACTCTCTCTGTCTTTCTGGCGAGCACACATACCCTATAGCAAAAACATTATTAAAAAAAAAAAAAAAGAAAAGATAAAAGAACTCCTGGGGTTGGGGAGCCATGGTACCTGGCAAAGACTTCTCTTAACTGCCACCTCCTTACGAAATCTTTTCATTTTTGCCTGTCTATGAAATGCCGTTTCTCCCCTCAGCTGCCCAGATTGCACTGAAAGTGTTTTTTATAGAGCTTATGCCATTTCGACGTTCATTGCTGTTGTGTGTAGCTTGTTGCATCCTGTAATACGGGCTGGAAGCCTCCGGAGGGTGGGGCTCTTACCTTACTCATCTGTCCCTTCTAATCAGAGTAGATGACTTGGTAGATGTCAAGCTATTAGCTGTTGAACAGGAATGAGTCAGATGGTGTGGAATATAAAAAGAAACACTTTCTCCAAGAAAAATACCTATACTGGCTACCTGACTCTCAGTTGGCTTATTTCTGCCAACATTGATAACCTGGGTAACTAGACTAACTGCTCTTCATAGAAAGAGTATGTATTTTTTCTCATTTTTTTTAATACATGAAATGTATAAAATAAATTCCATATGTATGTTGACTTGCACATGTGGGTGTGTACATGTGGAAATGTGTGAGTGCACATACACACCGACTAGGCAGAGGATGCTGCGGCCTCCTGCAACCTTCATGGAATGAGTTCAGCTCAGTGGGAGTATCTTACAGAGTTACGTGTCTGTGTGCAGACATAACTTCATACTTCACGACTCTGATTAGTTTTCTCTAACCAGTTGCACGGCCTGTCACTCAAGGGTTAGGCTCTTTTCAAACAGGTTTTTTTTTCCCCTCTTTTTTTAAAACTATTTTTTGTTGAACTTCATTATTTACTTACATATTTTAATTTGACCAGAGAGGGATAGAGTGAGAGAGTGGGAAAGTGAGAAAGCAAGCCACCAGGTCCGGGGCTTGAATCATGGTGGGCCACGTGGGAGTCCAGCACCCTTAACCACCACGCCACCTGCCAGTCCCTCCAGGCAGGGTTTTAGCTCGTTCCATCTTCTCTTTTTAGGCAGAAGTGGTATAAAACCTTTGCATCGCGATATAAGAGTATCTGTCATTTGACTTTGAATAACAGTTCTGCTTCTTAATAACTGTGTAACCTGATGCTAGTAACCATGGGCTAGTTACTTTATTTCAGGAAGTCTCAATTTTCTCATCTATAAAGTGAGGATAATACACACCTCAAAATTGCTGTGTAGAGAAAATGACATGTCAGATGGGCGACATGTGGTAGGTACTTGGTTAGTAAGTATTTGTTACCACCCTAGAATTACACAGCAGTGGGAGATGTCTTTTGTCACAAGGATGAGGGCTTAAAGAGGGCCCTAGGGAAAAAGAATGTGGAAGATCTACTTATTTGATGATCACATGGATAAAACAATTTTTTCTTTCAAAGACATCAGGAAGCTTAGTTTGTTCTAAGTCCTCCATTGGCCTGTGCCCCTGGCACAGAGACTCAGACTATGGATCACATGTGCCCCCCTGAGTGCTCTCTGCAGGTGTCATGGATCCAGGGAAGTCGAGGATGCCCAAGTGCCTGTGGTTTACCAGAGCATGAGGCAGCGTAATTGAACAAGGATGTTCACAGAATGTTCTTTTTCTTATAAAAAAGATACTAGTATTTTATGGAAGAAAGATGGTGGTAGGAGCATCGTTCTGGCTAAGTGAGATCAGTGATTAAAAGTTGAGGGAAGGCATTTTATGTTTTGATGAATACTATCTACCTGTTGGAAATAATTTTTTTTTTTCCTTGTGGGGCTAGAAATTCAGAAGAAAGTTTGATTCCCTAGGAGGGAGGCACCCACAGAAACACCGTGTAGTTCCATCTTAGCAGCTTGGCTTGGTTCCGCTCGGGGTCAAGCTCCTGGGGATGTGGGTTGCTGTGCAGTCGCAGTGTGAGGGCTGCTGGTCTGCACAGCGGCACGCCGGACTCTCTGGTGCGTTCGTATTTCCTGAACTTCCACCGCATCTCATCATTTTTGTGTGAGCTAGATGATTTCATTTGAGGGCCTACTTAACATTGCTAGTGGTTAAGATAAGAAAGAGCCTGTATCTGAGAGCAAAAATTATAGAATGATTTATTTTTTAGGCCTCAGATTACAAATCATAATAAAATAAAATCGAGTAGTTCTATGCTTTTTTTTTTTTTTTTTTGGAGAGGTTTTTGCACGTGTGCTCACCAGACAGACAGAGACAGAGAGACACTCAGATTACAAATCATAATAAAATAAAATCGAGTAGTTCTATGTTTTTTTTTTTTTTTTTGGAGAGGTTTTTGCACGTGTGCTCACCAGACAGACAGAGACAGAGAGACAGAAAGCGAGAAATCACTCTCCAGAGGGGATGGCCACACCACAATCCCTTTTGCTCCGTTCTCCTCTTGGGATCTCAGGCACACATGCACATGTGCCCGGCCTGAGTTTTAAGCCACCGGGTCTGGGATGCGAACCGTGGTCAACTACATGGGAGTCCAGCGACATAGCCATTACGCTAACTGCTGGTCCCAGTTCTATGCTTTTCAAAGTACTTTATCATTTGCTTTGTTAGGTTGTGTTAATAAGGCACGTGCTAGAGGATGTTTCAGCTCCTCCCGTAGAACGTCTGTGAGTGATGGCTTTTCCCCACTGGTCTTTCAGATCTAATCCAGCATAGCAGGTATTAGACTCGCCAGTGTGTACTAAGCCTACAGGATCCTTGAGTTTTCATTCGTGGATTGGTTCAAATCGAATAGCAGTTGGGAATATTCAGAGCTGCTTCAGTGCCGGCTGTTGTGTTACAGGCACAGTGGAAGCTGAACTGCAGGGTCGTTTGCTGTTTGTTAAGGGAGCACTCTCATATTTGCCAATAACCATCCCCACAAAAGCTGAGAGTGAAGTTCTAGGACTTTGTTAGTGCTCAGAGGAAGAAGGGGTTTCTCTTAGGAGTAGAAACTTGTGTACCGTGGAAACAGAGTTCAGGAGGCCCAGCAGCATCCTTCATTTGGCAGGGGGGTTATAACACCATCCTTGACCGCCTGTGTTTCCTCTAGGTCACGACTGCTGCGAGACGGTGAAGGTGCAGCTCTGTGCTTCCAAGGAGGGGCTGCCCGTGTTTGTGGTGGCTGAGGAAGACTTCCACTTCATCCAGGACGAAGCCTACGATGCAGCCCAGTTCCTGGCAACCAGCGCTGGCAACCAGCAGGCTCTGAACTTCACCCGTTTTCTTGACCGATCGGGACCCCCGTCCGGGGATGTGAATTCCCTGGATGAGAAGGTTGCGCTAGCATTCAGACACCTGAAACTTCCAGCAGAGTGGAATGTGTTGGGGACAGACCAGACTTTGCATGGTGAGAATTTAGATATGACCCACAGACGCTCTGAGTAGGGCATGCTCCATTGTTCAGTGGGACTGCTTTTGTGTATATCCACATCTTCCACAGTGGTTAGATAAATCTTACGGTTACTGGAGCAGTGGCCTTGAAAGCGTCTCTCCGAGATTCTTATACTGGGCTGTTAAACCTGTTCCTGTAGTGAAATGTCCCAGGTAGAATGTGGCACATTGCCTTCCTGTGGGTCTGGATGTCAGACGTGATCTGTCAAGCATAGAAAGTGACCCATCTTTCATGAGAATGGTAGCAGAGTGACTTTCTGGCATTTCGTTATTGAAGAGGGAGTTTTCATTGTTGTGTTCTGAAGTCCTCTGGAGTCCATGGAGTCAGAAGAAAAGTAAGGCTAGGAGTGAGTGGGAACACAAGAGTAGGGTGAGGCTCGGGAAACCCCACCCTTCTCTAACCAGGTTTTTCCACTCTCACTGTGTGTAGAAGAGTTCATGGAAGAGGGCCCAGTAGGTGGTCTGATTGGTAAGATGCTAGCCTCCCACGTGCTTGACTGCATTTTGAGTCCTGTACCTGGTGGCTTAAGAAATCACACTGGGTGTACGTGGTGCGTGCATGCTCAAAATCCCGAGAAGAGAGTGGAAGAGAAAAAATTGCACGTGGCCATCCCCACTGGGGGCTACATTCTCACTTAACTTCTCACTGTCTATCTCTGGTGAGTGCATGCTCCCTGTGGTGCCCCCATCCCCCCCCCCAAAAAAAAAAAAAAGTGTTCAAGAAAGAAAGGACTCTTGAAAAGAGTCCTTTTATAGAGGTGAGGGTTTTTCCACATAATTCTTCTAATAGCACCTTACCATCTAGATGCTATGATTACGCTTGTATTTTTTAAATGAAACTACATAATGTATCCCTGGACTCTAATAAATAAGCTCTTGTTCCCTTCCTGAACTCAAATCCAGTTGAAAGATTGAGGAGTCTCACAGATAGAGCTCAAAATGCCTGCTTCGTTACTGCTGAACACTCGATTGGCAGACGTTAGCGGTCCTGCCAGGAGGGTGTGCTTACATTTTCTATTGTGTGTCAGAAAGAGCTGGACAGTCACAGTGCCCCACAGAGTTCCCCCAGCCTTGATCATGGCGTTAGGTGGGGCGAGTTGACCAGAAGTCTCCCGCTCTGTGCGGGAGCAGCTCCAAGGGCATCTGAGCCGAGCGAGGGCATGTCTGGTTCCTGTTCTCTCAGGCTCATTACATAAGTTTATTCTTGTTCCCCTGGAAGAATGGTGAAGAGGTATTTGCTAGCTTCAACTCTCTGAAATCTGAATTTAACAGTCAGGCTTATGATCAGACTGTCAGAACGGTGTCCTGCCCTCTCAGGGGCAAACCGCCAGATGCCACCAAGACAGTCCCATGGAGGTGAAATATGAGAGTATGTGTGGGCTGAACAGCCAAACCAAGGACAATAGCATGTGCCCCTTTCTTTTCCCTTTTAAATTATTATTAATATGTGCCCACAAAGCCTCTGCACTGCAGGATCTAGAAGTTGGAGCATTTGACATTGTATTGAGCATGCATACCGTTTGCGTTACCTAAAGAGGGTCTTAGTACCTCGAGCTCCTGCCATTTCCGTGATTATTCTGGTTGCCCTTTACAAATTGGTATCAGCCTACATCTGCATTGGTTAGTTGTGGGCTTAAGGTGTTTCTGTGGCTTCGTTTTGTCCTGTTTAAAGAAGGCCCAGGAGTTGGATACTTGGTTCATGTTACCGTGATAATACGTATATATGTATGAATGCTAGAAAGAGCAGAGGTCTGAAACTTGGACCCATCGCTTCCTCTCTCTGGGCCTTAGCTTCCTCATCTCTAATAGGAGGGAAGTTGCTAGCTTCTCTATTATTGTGTACTCTCCCTGGACCCCCCAAGTTTCTGCTGTTCAGAACTGATCGTGCATTGCCAGCAAGGACTAATCCAAATCCGAGCACTTCAGGGAATGTGGGTTTCCTGGCTGTTGAGGGGCCACACGTAATGTAAAAACAGTCTATTCACACCAGTGAGCCACACTCCAAATACTTCTCAAACGATACAGAATGGAGGAAGGTACCAAGTAAGCTTGGTGCCTGGGATAACGCACCCCATTGCATAACAGGTCTTGCTGTTGAAAGCTAGGACGTTCACAGGTGTTGCAGCCTAATGCTCATACAAAGGAGCAAAGGAGTCATGGAAGACTTATGGCTAATCCTACTCTTTGTTTAGATGCAGTGCTTTTTTTTTTTTTTTTTTTTTTTTTTTAAGAGGAAAGTGAGAAAGGATACATGTTCTCACCAGAAAGACAGAGAAAAACATAGAGACAGAAAGTGAGAAATCGCCTCTCGTGGGATGGCCACACCGCGCCGCAATCCCTTCTCCTTCATTCTCCTCTCGGGGCCTTGAGCGTGCACACACATATGCCCAGGTCCAGGACTAGAACCGCAGTTGATTACATGGGAGTCCAGTGACATAGCCATTACACCAACTGCTGGTCCCTAGATGCAGTCCTTTTGAACCGTTTATTCAGGTCAGTGACTTTTTGAAAATTGCTCAGATTTCTCCTCAAGGAAAAAAAAATGCAGGTGCCTGCCTGCAAACGTGTATGTATAGTAAATGCTATGGTCTCTCTCAGAGTCAGGCACGAACATTAAGAACCCTTAGATTACATTTGAGGTTATAAATGGAAGAGCATGTTTTATTATATTCTAACTTCATTGCAAGAATTTGTGCAACGTACGTAATCTCTCTGTCTCATTTTCCTCATCTACAGAGTGGGGAAACTGTTCTGATAATGTGTGCTAGTTTGTAAGGTGATTCATTTTGAATATACCTCAACTAGTATCCAATAACCTTCTGGAGACAGAAAACATTGGTGAGGGTAGCAACATGTTCTGTAAAAGGGCAAAACAGACCGCCCTAAAAAGAGCCTTCCTTGAGGCAGAACGAGACTGTTTTACATTTGTTTTTACTTGTTGCTAAAGTTAAAACCCTGACACTTTAAAACAAGAGCAAGAGGGAGTTTGTACAGTTTAGTTTTCCCAAGGGCTGTCTAATCCGTAGTTACCTAAAGATACCTCTGCACTGGTTTTTTTGCCACAATTCTTCCTTAAATGCAGGAGATAAGGATTCCTCCGAAAGGCAGGGGAATGGGAGGGGGAAGCGAGGACACCTTCCTTTTCTGACTTCCCGGGTCTCATGTAGCTGTCCTGGCCCTTTAGTGCCTTGGTGGTGAGTGTGGAGGATGAGAGTGGCCCATTGAAGCCTTGCTCTGGAGAATGTAAGGAGGAGCATCCTGGGGAAAATCTTCATCCTTCAGTTGTGAATAATTAAGTAAAAGGAAGAGTTAATCATCTCTCATTGTAGGAGAAATCCCACAGGGAGAAATTTGGGTGGAGAGAAAGATGGCAGGTTTAAGAAAGACTGCACTGAGGCAGCCTGTGTAGCCCCAAGTCTGTGTACGTGGCATTGGCTAATAGGTGAGCTTCATCTTTTGGTGAATATTTTCCCTGTGCTTCTTTCTATTATCACTGCTAAAACAGAAAATGGTAAGTGGCCAGAAGGAGGTCTAGGGGTTAAGGCACCAGACTCCTACACAGTTGACCATGGTTTGAGTCCTAGACCTGGCAGCTTGAAACTCATGCCAGGTACGTGTGTGTGCATGCCCAAGATCCCAAGAGGAGCATGGAGGAGAGGGAATTGTGGTGTGAACTTCACCCCTGGGGGGTGATTTCTCACTTTCTGTCTCTCTGCCTCTCCAGCAAGTGCATGTGCCTTATAGCAAAAACTCTCAGGAAAAAAAAAAAAAATTATAACATAAAACCGCCAAAGAGTCCTCCCCCAAAGGATTAATATTGGGCTGTCAGGAGAGTCATGAAGCATTTTTCATAGAAAAACAGAAAAATACATCAAAACTTTTCCCGAAGGCCTAATAGATGCTGACCCCAAGACAAGCAGTGCCTAATATTAGCAGGCCTTTAACTCCAGAAGGTTTTGTTGTCTCTCAAATCTTGATTTTTATCACAAGATCACAGGTCTGGTTTTTCTCCCCCACCCCACCCACCCAAAGCCCATTTTTCTAGCATTGACCAGTTAAGAATATCTGTCTCTGGGCCAGCACCTTAAAGTGCAGGGATTAAGCACTCTGTAGAGGAAGGCAGATTCCACATGGCTAACCAGGGGTTGAGTCCTGGCAGCTTGGAAAACATGCTGGGCACATGCACAGGTACCCGGCATCCTGACAGAACGAAGAATCAGAAAGGATTGTGGCATGACCAGGCTTCACATTGCAGTAGGAAATTACATGTAGTCCTTGATTATTGTATTGTTCATAGAATTTTTAGTTTGGTCAGAGAATCTTGACAACTTAAAAACCATACAACCCTCCAGTAGTTTCATAGTTGAATGCCTATAAGACACATCAATCTTTGCAGATCTGGCACAAAGTGTGTGGGAGAGTAGATAACAAGAGGAGCTTAAGATATTTTCTACCTACCTTTTTTTTTTTCTTTTTTTTTCTAATCTACAGGATGCATGCACTCACTGGAGAGAGAGAGGGAAAGTGAGAAATCACTCCCTCAGGGGATGGCTACACTGCAGTGCCTTCTCCTCCATTCAACTCCTGGGATTTTGGGCACGCAAACACACGCCTGGTGTGTATTTTAAGCTATCGGGTTCAGAACTCGAGCCATGGTCCACCTTGTGCCTTAACAACCACATCACCTCCTGGCCCCTCCACCTACCTTCTGAGTGGGTACAAATTGAGGCTCCATAAAAATCTTTACAATTGCATACTGTTGAACAGAGAAAAGCCAACCAACATGGATCCTATGAAAGAACATTACAGCATAATGTCAAGGGGGAAATATCATTAGTATTTATATGGAAGATTTTCTGGGTATGACACCAAAAATATAATTTTGGGACCAGCAGTTAGCGTAATGTCTATGTCGCTGGACTCCCATGTAGTTGACCATGGTTCAAGTCCCAGACC